ATGTTTCTGTTTGAAACCAATCAGCAAGCCGTTCGACACTTCTTTTGGCCGATGCAACAGAAGCAATCAGGCCGCTACTTCGAAGACCCGACGAGTAAAATGGCCTAAACAGATATTTTTTTCATTGTTTTTAGCATCCACACGATGTACAGGGTAGCCGGCCTTCAAAACGCTAGTATGATCTCGGAACGGATTATTTGAAAAAAAATTGTGGTGCTCTATCATCATGTCCTTGTGCCGGACTATGTATATATACATATATATATAAATGTATGCAAAAAAAAAAAATAAATAAAATAAAAAGAAAGCATATGTTGTAATATTAAACTTAATTTTTAGTAAGTTTTAAAGTAACAAAAAGTAATTACTTTCGGATACGATAAAAAAACAAAAAAACAAACAAGTTTCCATTTTTCCTTTCATCTTCGAAGGCGAAAAACTGTTACTTCTGTCGACTGCAAATGCTTTCCTTATGATAGAAACCCTGACAAATATTTCAATGACTAACATATAGAAAACATCAGTGAACTTGTAATATCATTCAAACAGATATATATTCGTGTTATTTATTTCATAATTTTTTTCCGATAGCCGCTCTTACCACCACTCCTGCCACCACATTAATACTACTACTACTACCACCACTACTACTACTACTACTACTACTAACGGGATGTTTAAATCAGTGATTGCTGTAACCGGTTTGTAAAGGAAAGCGTGACATTTACTCGTATTACAAACAGAGGAGACCTCGGGAATTTGATTTCTTTACAAATCTACCACCACCACCACCACCACCAATACTACTACTACTACTACTACCACTACTACCACTACTACTACTATTACTACTACTACTACAACAACAATTACTATTGAAGTCGTTGGCAGAAATGATTAAAAAAAAGAAAAATTATGCAAGGTTTGAAAGTGAAAGTGAAAGTATAATGTAATGCCCACAAGAAGCAAACATTAATATTCTCTTTTTCTTCTTCTTCTTCAAAAAAAGAAAAAAAATCAACTCGTAAAAAAAGAGTAAAAAAAGAAGAAGAAATCAAAAAAGAAAGAAAAAAAAGAAATCACACACACACACACACATAAGCAAACACACACACACACACACACACACACATATATATATATATATGTGTGTGTATATGAAGTTTTTGAGAAAATTGCAACAACTTAATTCACTTCAACACACTTCTCACGGTGGTACGGGCCACCAATTGAAATCTTTTTTTTTAAGGTTTCATCTCCAAAATTTTGGAGGATTCGTTTTTCTTCTAATAGCGAAATGAAAAGAAAAGAAGGGAAAACATATCTAATCTTAAATTAGGGGCAAAAAAAAAAAAAAAAAAAAATACATCGGACTGCATTATGCTTGTAAAATTTACAATATCTACCCCCTAATTTGTGCCCACACGTTCACATGCAATACATCTTGGATAGAAACAGACAAAATAACATTCGAGTCATACGACTGTACTAGAGGCGTGAGCAAAAGAACCAGAGTAGAAAAACTAATACGTTGAAGAGTTAAATATATATATATATATATATATATATATATATATATATATATATATATATATATATATATATATATATATATGTATGTATGTATGTATAAACATGAAATCGATCAGGTGATTCTGTCTTACGATGTTTTTAAAAGAGGCGGCGTAAGAACAGTCCTGAAGGCTAAAATTTCCGCCCACTCATAAAAAAAAGAACTAACTTATATTCTTATATTCAGTGCTTTATATATATATATATATATATATATATATATATATATATATATATATATATATATATATATATATATATATATATATATATAAAAATATTTGTTCTGATGAAAATATGAAATCTTTGAAAGAAATTTATCAGACACTGTTTTTTCATATCTATCCATTCGTACCATCAATTGTAAATTGCTAAATAAAATCCAGTTACTAAAATTCAATACTGATTTAGTAATATTATTGAAACATTAACTCTTTTTAATGATATCATTTTTGTGATAATTACAATTTTCTTTATCGCTCTCTCTATTCGCTGTTTCATATTGTATCATATTAAATACTTACAGACATATTACTTGGTACCAAATTATACTGTTATAAAACCTAATTCTACTAGCATATCACACACACACACGGACATGTATATATAATTATAAATTATTACTGGAACGACCTTTTACAAATTGCACCAGTTCTTATTTCGACAGATTACGAAAGACTTGGCTCATTAGGTAAACATTCTTTTTTGATTTTATTTTTTAATTTACAAATAACTGATTTTGGGTTCGAATCGACCCCGTTTCTTTAACCTTCTTTGATCTTTTGAAAAAAAAAATCGATGTGGAAGAATTATCGGCGCTGTGGTAATAAATTAAGCACTCTCCTCTCATTTGTAAACATGCACTATAATAAAATAAACGTTTTCGGCGATTGAGCTGCATCAGTCAGATAAAGCTTCACAACTTTCTACTTAAAGTTGTTACAACATTACAGACGCTTTGATATTTCTTACGAGGTGAAAAGAGTGGACAGAAAAAAAAAAAATACATGCCTCGCATCGACCAAGTGGCGTTCATCTCATGAGCCCTCATAGTCATATGCTCATAAAATTGGTATGACAATCGACTATTCCTTTTCCAACTTCCAGCGTAGTTGTTCTGGTAAAGACGTTTCTTTCTTTCTTTTTTTTTCTCCTCTCTCTAAAACGTGCTTGAGAGTTGTTCCGACGAACCGTGTACAAGTCGATCACCCATTGTGATCCCGTCGGTTAGTCTGTCTTATCAAAGCTACTATTACCTGAAGCGTTGTAAATATTTTCGTTGACAAAAGCAGTGAGCGATCGCGGGGCAGGTGCCGTGGCTCTTTTGGCAAAAATAATCAAACACACACACACGCACGCACAGATACACAGGCACACATATACACACACGCACAGGACTATACTGACAGGGATACAGAAAATTATCTCTTGCATTAAGTTAATTGTTGGTTCGAATCAAGTTGCAGGCATAATGATTTTCATTCAAATTTCGCAACGATAGGACCTTTTTGTTTACTTACTTCCAAATCACTTTTGTTATTGAAATCAAACTAAGGAGTTCTTGGAAATATTTTTTTTCTTTTGGGTTTACTTCTTGATTACAACCGGAAGTCTTATTTGGGACTTAACAAAAAGGAAATATCTATTTTGAAGTGGCTAAACCGAAAATGAAAGAACAAATTAAAATAATAATGTTAAAAAGCTAAAAATAAACAACGGAAAGTCGAACTGTTTGGACGAATTTTAACTTAAAAAAAATCAAAGAAAACATTTCTCCTCCCTTCCTTCCCAACCACTTTAGCCCCTTCTGTGTGGGAAGAGAAAAAAAAAAGACACTTTATTTAATGTAAAACTATTCAATTATTAAAACTATTGTCGAATACATTTAACTTTAACCGCAAAATAAAAGGCTTGAATTATTCCCAACGTTTGTCATCTACTCCTCATTTCACTGTTCTTTTAAAAAGTCACGAAAAGGTTGAATTCAGGACCCAAACTATAAAGTGTCCTGGTCCTTGTCGAGCAGTTTTTTTTCTTCTATATACTCATAAAATCCTAACTTATATTCTTTATCGCCTCCATAAGCTTCCTATAGCTATCAATTAATTATGGCATTATCTACAGGTTTTCGATACTTGTAAAATCGTGTTAAACCCAAAGAAAAAATATCTATAAGATTGTTGATAGCTTGAATTACAATCATCTACTTCTAAAATACTCAGCACATCTATCTATCTATCTATCTATCTATCTATCTATCTAGTGCAAATTTTTTCTTACTAACTTTTACACAAAGATTTTAATTTTAACTACTATTACTACTACTACTACTACTACTACTAACAGCAGTAGCAGTAAAAGAAATAATAATAATGATGAATGTAATTATGAAAGCGAGGAGGACCTCGATTTTATAAGCTTATAAAACTTGTCTTGAGCGAAATCGAGGCTAAAGGTAAAAAATTAACAATAAGGACACGTTGTTGTTTATGATATAATCCGTTACAGCTTGAATTACAATCATTTGCTTCTAAAATACATAATACGTTACTCTCTTCTTCTTCTTCTTTTTTCTCTCTCGATATATATATATATATATATATATATATATATATAGTGCTAATTCTTTTACAAGTGTTTTCTTCATTAACTTTCATACAGTGTAACTTTCATACAACTACTACTGCTGCTACTACTACTTCTACTATTACGACTGCTACTACTACTACTAATGCTACTACTACTGTTACTACAATTACTACTGCTAATAACGATAACAACAACATCAATAATAATAATATCATTATAAAAGCGATGAAGGCCTAGATTTTATAAGCTTATAAAATTACTTTCGCGTCAGTCGGAAGGCCAGTTACGTTAAAGAACCAAAAACTTTTTCAAAGATTTCCTTTTCGTGATATACGCCTGACAAAGACAAAAAAAAAAAGTTCTTTTGCTCCCGTGGTAAAAAAACAAAACAAAACAAAAAAAAACAGTTTTTATTTTTTATTTTTATATTTTATTTTTATTTTTTTGTGTCAAGTTGAGTTCGACCCCCCCCCCCCCGTACTGTTGCCCGTCCCCTTTCCCGCTCCGTCGCGGCTCTGTTGCAACAGTATCCTCCCGCTTATATGAACGGGGTCCCTTGTTCCTTAAATCAGCCCGGCCGTGTTCATTAAAACAATTCGGGAACTATTCTGGCAGGCAGTACTTCAGCTGCATGCTATATCCATTAAGAAACAAAAAACAACAACAACAAAAACTTTATGCGGCCACAACGAACATCAACATAGATGCAATAACTGTAATCATTCACTTGTAAAATCAGCTGCTTGGAAAGCTGCAAACAAAATAATACACATACAATTCTGGGGGGCATTACTCTCATGTACTTGTAAAATAATCCATACGAAATGATCTCAACATCTAATGCAAGATGTTATGCAATAATAGAACGTACCTACAAGGATTCTGATATATTGTAAAATCTCCAAACGCGCTATATCTGATTTTTTTTCTATGCTTATAAAATCTATATACTTAATATAGTAATCGAGGATATACTGCAGAGATAATACGGAGGTAAAAAAAAATCAAGATTAAAAAAATAAATGAAATAATTGCCCGTATTTCTGTGTGTGCTTGTAAAATCTCGGATATTCGTAGGTGGGCGCAGTTATTCTTAATATTTCTCAAAGGTGGCGAAAATTCAAAGCGACAACTAGACACATCTGTGTTTGATAGCCTAAATTGTTAAAATTTTAATCGTGCTTGTAAAATCAGCTCTACGAAAGAGTATAATTTTCTCTGTGTGTGTGTGTGTGTATTTGTCCCGATTCGCTAAACTCTTGAAAGCCAACCCATCCACCCCGGCTCCAGCATCTGACACCACAGACACTTGCCTCTAAGACTACTGACATCTGCTTCAACATTTAGTAATACTGCATTTACCAACAACTAGTTGGACTAACACCACTTTTTGCATCGTCGACGACTTCTTTCACGGACTTTTCATCTGCAGTTGCGTTTGAAAAGGACTTAAACAGCCCAAGCCTGCTTGGTAGCTGAGGTGGTTGCGTGCCCTCAACCGGTGTTGGAGGTCGATTTTCAAGCACTGGTCAAAACACCTGGATTTCAGATGCTGCTTTTCAAGGAACGTGGACAGGTATTCCGGATTTGGAAGATTAATGCAAGATATTTCTTTTTGTCAACACCTCCCTTGTATATTTGACTTTGTGGATTTTTAATTTATATAAGTTTAAAGAAGAAGAAGAAGAAGAAGAAGAAGAAGAAGAAGAAGAAGAATTCTTTAAATTTCTCTCGCTTCTTCTCGATAACAAAAGAGTGGAGGACTGAACTGAATCAAGAAGAAGCTGGAGGAACGACAAGAGAAAACAAACAACCAGCAAGAACGGGGTTCGGTGTCCGGTTTGTCTAGCCAGAGGAGGCAGGACTATTCACAGTTGCCGCTGCAACAGTTCAACTGGCCACTGTTTCACCGGCAAAATCAGTCGGACACCGCCACTGCGAACCCCACAGGAGCCACATCCAGCACAACCCCAACCACCTGTGGCACAGAGAGTGGAACCCCAGCCTCTTCAACCAGTGATACCGTAAGAGCAAGACCCCGGGGACGTACACGGACAACATCCTTCTCGAACCCGTATAACGTCAGTAAGCAAAACCATATCAAACCCTTTTTTACGGGTTGCAGCACTAATAGCCCCACCACTAGCAACAGCAACTGTAGCAGTGGTGGTAGTAGTAGTAGCAGTAGTGGTAGTAGTAGTAGTAGTAGTATTAGAAGTGGTAGAAGTAGTAGTAATAGTAGTAGTAGTGGTAGCAGCAGGAGCAGCAGCAGCAGTAACAACAACAACAACAACAACGGCAGCAAGAGACTGCAAGACGTCTCCCAGCGACAAGCAGTTTTGCAGAGTTCGGACGTTTCCCTGCAGCAAGGGGCAAAAACCCCATCCCCGAGTTCCAGTGCTTCATCCCCAAATACACTCCCAACATTACCTTCTGTTACTGCTCCCGCCGCCACCACTACCACCACCACAACCACCACCGCCACCGCGGCCTCTCCCGGCACGCCAGGGTCTACAAAAGCAGCAGCAGCAACAACAACAGCAACAACCAACCCAACTCCAGTCACTCCAAATACTACTGGTACTAATAGTACTACATCTACTGCACATACTACCGAGGGCTCACTTAAAAGTCTGCCCCATCACCGCAGCATTGCGGCAGGGACGTCGCCCTCGAGGGAGTCGACGCCGACAAATCAAGTTCAAACTTTGGCTCGGTCCCCTATTCTACCACCTCCACCCCCGCCGTTACAGCATACGGCGAGCTCACAAGGGCTGCGTCAAGTACACCACCACCACCACCATCACTATTACAATCCTAACCCCCATCACCATCAATATCAGTACCATTACCAATACGACCCCCCATCCTCTGTATCAGGGTCTTTCTCAACATCGCCATCATCATCAACCACAACAACAACAACAACAGCAGCGGCAAATCAAGTTCAACTTCAAAACGCAACCTCTGAACTTCAAGGATCTGCCTTACAACGACACGAACAGTTGCAAGCATCTTCGGGCAGTCACCCACCACAAAGCTTACCCCTCAGCTCATTGCCTTATTATAATTGTTACCCTAACCAATCGTCAATATTCACAACCCAATCGGCCATTCCAGCGGCGTCGTCTGCCCAACCGACTAGCGACTCGTCTTCTGTTTTTGGCACCGACGATCCGTTCGCTCCCCATCCGTCGTGTTCAGTTTCCTCAACGAGTACATCAGTGTCTGCCGTTGCCGCCGCCTCCACCTTCGCTTTTCCACTACACCATCACCATCGACCCCAACCGCAACATCCAGAATACTTGGCTCTTCTGCCACTCCGTCAAGGCACGGGGGCTAGCGGTAGTCGAGTCACACTTGGAAGCGATCCGAAAAATTGCAAAAGCGCTAACAATCGTAGTTATTTTTATCCGCAATCGTCCCCGGGGTTGGTTAGTTCTGGTCCCCTTGCAAAGTCGAGCACCCCCTTGTCTCAGACTACTCCACCACACCATAATCATTATCATCATCACTATCCGAGTTATTATAGCCAGCTACAACACCAACAAGTTCAACAAAAGCCACCTACCCCACAACAAAGCCAATCAAAACCACCCACCCCACAACAAAGCCAGTCAAAACCACCTACCCCACAACAAAGCCAATCAAAACCACCTACCCCACAACAAAGCCAATCAAAACCACCTACCCCACAACAAAGCCAGTCAAAACCACCCACCCCACAACAACAATCTCAAACCACACCCCAGCAGCAAGTCCCTCGTTTGCTTCCGTCTCCCCAGCCCGTCATATCCCGAAACCTGTCATTGCAACAAAGTTCAGAAGACGGAGAACAGGCTGACAACGACGTTTTCGTCACAGCAGAAGATAAAAGCGACGGGGACGACGACGAAGACGAAGAGGAGGAGGAGGAGGAAGAAGAAGAGGAGGAGGAAGAAGAAAAAGAAGAGGAAGAAGAAGAAGAGGAGGAAGAGGAGGAGGAAACAGAGGAATTGCAGTTGTTACACAGCGGCTACCACCACCACCACCATCACCACCATCACCACCACAGTAACAACAGCAACAATAGCAAAGACCATAGCCGAAGTTCCAGTGGAGGCGGAGGAGGCGGTGGCGGCGGAGGAGGAGGGGTCGCCTGTCGTAAGAAGAAGAAAAAATCCCGTGGTGGAGGCGGCGGAAGAGACGGCGGAGGGCACGGTGACGACCAGCACCTGCAGCCCCTACTGTCCAGTCCTGATCTTCGGGATCAGTTTCACCATCCGCATCATTATAACCATCGGCCCAATTCACGATTCGGGCGTAGCAACAAAGCTTCCCAGTACCAAACCCCTTTGCTTGCGAAACGGAACACCCGGCGCTTCCACGGGTCGGGATACCAGACGAAATTCGGTCGTCGGGCTTCCAAATCTATTACATCTTGGTTGTCGACCGCCAGCGAGATGATAAACGAAAGACGCCACAATACGACGGTCGGAAACTCGACCAGTCAAGGAGTGAGCACCGGTGTTGTGGGGTTAATGGCAGCCAGCGCAGCATCCTTTGCCAATGCCGCCGAGCTTGTTGAAGGTTCTTGTTTCAACAACCAATTGCAACAGCAGCAGAACAACAGCCATCATTTTAACCAATTTCAACCTCAAAACGACAGCATCAACAATACAGCAGCATCGTGCAATTTACTTACACCGGAAGCAGACAGTGACCTCACTGAAAGCTTCCGGTCAGTTCGTGACGAACCTTACACCGGCTCAGCCGAGCACCTATCTTCACTTGATGGTGGTTTTGGATTTGGTACCAGCTTTACAGACAACCGTCGTCGCAGTGGGGGTTCTCGATATGGCATTGGGGGCTATACTCCCAGTCTTGGTGGTTTTGGAGCTGGACCCGCGGTTGCAAACACCGCCACGACGAATTCCCTGACAAGGAAACCTTCAATAGGACCCGGATCTTTGCTTACGCACAATAATCTGCTACGTCAACAGCAGCAGCAGCAACAACAGCAGCAGCAACAAACCCAACCGGAACAACCTTACTACCAGACGTATCACATGTACGATCAAGAATCACACGATGAAACCGTCATACTAAACGTAGGGGGCAAGATCTTTGAGACGAAACGAGCGACCCTGTTTCGACTGCCTACAATGAAACTGGCCAAGACGCACGAAATGGAACGCCACTACCGGCCCGACCGGAGAGAATACTTCTTTGACCGGGATTCGGAGGCTTTTCGAATTATCCTGAATTATCTACGAACTGGGGAGCTGCACGTGCCAATGTGCATGTGCGGGCCTTCGATTAAGACGGAATTCGAATTCTGGGGTATCGAGGAACACGACATTGAACGTTGTTGCTGGACTCAGTACAATACGTGGAATACACAGAGCAAGTCTCTCGAGAAACTGGAATCGTTTCGCAAGACGTCGCTACCTCAAAACGGCTTGGCCAATGAAAGACGTCTGTCGAATTGGACAAGATACCAAGGCCGAATATGGAGTTTTCTTAACGACCCGACTTCGTCAAAATATGCTCAGGTAAGCAAATCCTATTTTTTCATCTTTTTAATTTTTTTTTTTTTTTTTTTTTTACAGTGAGGGTCACCTTTTATAAGTCGCAGGGCCCCTCGAGGTAGAGGGTGACGTTAGGAGGCCATTTGTATGAATAACTGAGGGAGATAACGGTTAACCCCAGCCTTGAACAGGTTAAGATTTTAGTAATCGGTGAAACATCCTGTTGGGAGTCGGTTCTTAAAGACTTAAGGGAGGTTGTTAATGTTAATTTTTGTCATCTCAAACTAACTCTCATAGTGCCATGATTGATGCCTGCTGACAAAAAATTGCACTTAAATCTTCTGTTTTAATGAAAATTAATCATTGACTATTTGACTAGGTTTTAAAAAAATGACTTTCTTTTATCTTTACATAATTTTTTTTTTACAGTAAGGTTGAAGGTTACCTTAGGGGTCCATTTGTGTGTACAGGTGAGGAAGATAGCGACTAACCCTAGCCTTGAGCAGATTAAGATTGTAGTGATCGGGGAAACATCCTGTTGGGAGTCGGTTCCATAGGGCAGTGGTTCACGGGATGAAGCTACTTGAGTGGAACTTCTCACCGATGGAATACGGGGGGAATGTGGGTGATTTGCTACTATGTAAGTGGCATGGCGTGTTCTTGCTGTGAAGGTCGGCCGGACCAGAGAATGTAGTTCGTCCGAGCACTTTTCATGGAAGGAGCGGTAGAGTAGCAAGAGGCTTGCCACGTCCCACCTGTGGGAGACAGAGGTTGAAGGGTGGAGAATATTTCGTCACCCAAAAGGGACGCCTATCTCAATCTTTTTTTTGTATCTATACTAATATTCTGCGTTTGTATCAATATATTTTCTTTCTTTCTTTCTTTCTTTCTTTCTTTCTTTCGTTATTTGTAAATATTTCGGAAGTGTTTTAAAAGATGACGGAAAGGCACAATGCGATAGAGAAATATGCCTTCCCAAAGCTAAACAAAGTATTAAGAAAGTAGAAGAAATTCGTTAGAAGCAAATAAAAGAGTACTGAACTATTACATGATATTAATCCTATACGATAGTGTATGCTAGACAACCCTGTCTTGGGTAAGACAAAAAACTACACCCGCGTTCTGCGTAAGACTATTAATTACATCCGACAGCAAGGTGGCTTTGAGGAACATACAACTGCCTCTTAATTGCTGGACTTTCCAGGTTTACCCTGATCCGGGGTGGCAGCACCTGTTAGGGTCCCAGCTATGAGCAAATCGTTAACTCCTAAACTAGGTTCAAAACACTATGAAAATGTAAAAATAGGTTTTAATAAGAACAATAAATTTTGAATAAAAAATTATTACCAATAATACATTATTACCAGCAGTACATTAAAAAAAATATTACCAGCAATATATTTTGGAAAAAAAATTTACCAGTAATAAAAATCTTGTCGGCATTAAATAACCCATTGAGGTGTTGATATGCCTTAAAACAAAATAAACCAAATCAAACCAAACCAGCGACACAGTTTCCTCAAAGATAAAGAAGAAACTTGAAGCAAAAGAAATGTGGTTCTACAGAAGGATGCTGAGAATGCCATGAACTGAATATGTGAGCAACGACGACGTTCTAGAGACAATGGAAACAAAACGGACACTTACACTTAACACCAGGAAAACACAGTTGACATTTCTAGTACACATAGCGAGGAAAGAGAGCTTGGAAAATTTGACACTCACAGGACAGATTGAAGGCAAAAGGGAAAGAGGAAAACAACGTATTGGCAAGCTTGAATGAATGGATGTTTAGAAGAGATGACAAAAAGACAATATTTATTAAGAACTACAAAGGACAGGAAATTGTGGAGAGCTATGATCGGCAACGTCCTGAAGGAAGACGACATGTAGAAGATCTGTTTATATCTATGAGGCTCACTCCGAGAGTAATGCCACCTATTCGAAGCGGATGTTGGTAGCATGGCAACAGAGGCTGAACCTTCCCGCCAATAACCCATAATGTTTCATTTTTTTTTTTTTTTTTTTTTTAACAGATAAGCGGGAATTTGGCAAAAATGGCATCTGATATGAACCTGAGAATTCTGATCTGTGAAATATGATGAAAGACAAAACAAAAATAAACAGGAATTGACAGTGTTTTTTTTTTGTTTTTTGTTTTTTTTACGGTTTATCAGCCCAGGTTCTTTAAAGTCAGAAAATATTTTTAGATTGTAAATAATTTTTGGGAAGATAATAATGCTGTAGTGATACAAGTCTTTACTAATTAACCCATAGCTGGAGAGAGAAGAGGTGGATCGATACCTAATCACTATTTGATAAGATAAATAAGAAATTATAATGTGGTTATAAAATGGGGTATCAATTCTATATTACAAGCAATATCTAAACTTACCCCTCACTTTTTGGCCGCAGTAGTTTCTACACACTTCTATTCCAGAGAGTGGAAATAAATCTAAAATGTCTGTGCGGCTAATCAGTATTTCATTGATTGGTTCGTTTTCTACGGCTTGTCAACCCTTTGCAGGTTATTTAAAGCCAGAAAATATTTTTCGATAGTAAGATTTTTTTAGATAATAATTGCTTTAGTGATACAAGTCTTACTAATTACCCATAGGTGGGGGGAAATGAATTGGATTCATCCAAGGGTATTGACTCTAAGTGAATATAAGAAACTCAAATAGAATTGGAACTTGGCTCTCCGATTAACAATTTCTACCCATTATCCAGTATACCACTTCACGTCCAATCTTACAACACCTGGTATTCCCAAGCGGTCAGCCACATAGGTACTGACCAGGCTCCACGTTGCTTAACTTCAGTGATTGTACAGGAATCGGTATTTCAATGTGATGTGGCTGTTAGCCCTTTATGCCGCCTGCACATCAAAGTTTACAGATCCTAGCATTCTTATGCGGTCAACCATCTAAGGTACTGACCAAGCTCGACGTAGCTTACCTTCGGTGGCTATAAGACTCTCTTAATGTTATTACTAGGAGGAGTAAAGACGCAACAGAATCTGAGATGAAGCAAGTAACAGTTTACAATGAATAATAATTGACAATTCTTCATCTGAGGCAGTCAGCAAACTTAATAAATAATTATTATGCCCACATAGGTACTGACTCGGCTCGACGTTGCTTAACTTCGGTGATTGTACAGGAATTGGTGTTTCAATGTGATGTGGCTGTAAGCTCTTTATGCCGCCTGCACATCGAAGCTTGCAGCCCCTGGCATTCCAAAGCGGTCACCCCTCTAGGTACTGATCAGGATCGACGTTGCTTAACTTCAGTGGCTATAAGCCTCTCTTAATGTTATTACTACGAGGAAACACGTAACAGAAACTGAGATGAAGGAAATACCAGTTTATAATGAATAATAATTGACAATCATTCATTTGAGGCAGTCAGCAAACTTAATACTTATGATATAAGAGTTTTGATAAAAAGCGACACAAATAATTACGTTTTCTTCGTCTTCTTCTTCGTGTTATTGTCATATGGGAATAAAGTATAACTGCCGACACTTGGGTTTGAACAGGGATCGCCAGAGAGCAAGCACAGTGCACCTCATCTTGAAAGAATTAGACCATATGACGGATAAAGGAAAAATATGTATATGGGAAGTAGCAGCGTCAAAAAGGAATAATAATAGCTACATTCTTATCTATGACATTCAGACAACTAAAAACAATCACACCTTATAGCGACGGTGCTTAAAGATCAAGAGAAATAAGATGAAAAAAAGACAAGTCAAAAATGATTAATAATCACTACGGTTTCATCTATGATATTCAGACAATTTAAGACAATCACATTTTATTGCAATGGTTCTTAAAGAAGCAAGAGAAATAAGATGCAAGTAAGACATGTCAAAAATGAATAATAATAGCTACGGTTTAATCTATGACATTCAGACAACTTAAAACAATCGCATCTTTTTGTGACGGTGCTTAAAGAAGCAAGAGAAATAAGATGAAAGTAAGACAAGGCAAAAATGAATAATAATAGCTACGGTTTCATCTATGACATTCAGACAACTTAAGCCTATTACACCTTACTGCGACAGTGCTTAAAGATCGAGAGAAATAAGATGAAAGTAACACAAGTCAAAAATGAATAATAATAGCTACGGTCTCATCTATGACATTCAGACAACTTCAAACTATTACATCTTATTGTGACGGTGTTTAAAGAAGCAAGAAAAATAAGAAGAAAGAAAGACAAGTCAAAAATGAATAATAATAGCTACGGTTTAATCTATGACATTCAGAAAACTTAAAACAATCGCATCTTTTTGTGACGGTGATTAAAGAAGCAAGAGAAACAATGTGAAAGAAAGACAAGTCAAAAATGAATAATAAGAGCTACGGTGTCATCTGTGATATTCAGGCATCTTAAAACAATCACATCTTATTGCGACAGTTCTTAAAGAAGCAAGAGAAATAAGTTGAAAGTAAGACATGTCGAAAATGAATAATAATAGCTACGGTTTCATCTATGGCATCCAGACAACTTCAAACTATTATATCCTATTGTGACAGTGCTTGAAGATCAAAAGAAATAAGACGAAAGAAAGACATGTCAAAAATGATTAATAATAGCTACAGTTTCATCTATGACATTCAGACATCTTAAAACTATTATCTCTTATTTCGCCAATGCTTAAAGAAACTAGAGAAATAAGATGAAAGACAGACGCATCAAAAATGAATAATAATAGCTACGGTTTCATCTATGACATTCAGACATCTTAAAACTATTATCTCTTATTTCGCCAATGCTTAAAGAAACTAGAGAAATAAGATGAAAGACAGACGCATCAAAAATGAATAATAATTGGCAATTCTTCATGTAAGAAAATTTACAGACCTTTTGACTATTCCGTGCTATTGGTAGAAGTTGTAAACAAAGCAGTGAAGTAAAATAAAAGAAAGGTGACTCAAAAATTACTAATAATGACATTACTTTATACATCGCATTACCACTAATAAATTCAGGAGGATTTTAAATGAAATTTGAACAACGCATTACGTTTATTTCTTCACTTCACTGTAAAGGAAGAAGAAATAAAATGAGAGAAAAACGAGGAGAAAATGGATCATCATGACAAGAATTCAGTCAATAAATTTAAGGAACTTTTGTTTATTACGATTTAATACTAAGAGGTTCAATACCTCGTAGTATTAAATTTAAATTTTCATTTAAAATTTAATTTTTCGACTTTCTCTTGTTTGTTTACACCTCCTATTAATAAGACGTAATAGTCTTAAGCTGTCTGAATTGCTTAGATAAAGCATTTTCAAGTATTATTCATTTTTGATCCGTCTTTCTTTCATCTTACTTCTCCTGCATATTTACACCTTGTAGTCATAAAACGCAATAATCTTATCAGAATTTCTTAGATAAAGCATTTTCAAGTATTATTGATTTTTGACTCCTATTTCTTTCATCTTATTTCTCTTGCTTGTTTGCACCTTGTAGTCATAAAACTCAATACTCTTATCAGAATTTCTTAGATGAAGCATTTTTCAAGTGTTATTCATTTTTGACCCGTCTTTCTTTTCATCTTACTTCTCCTGCGTATTTACACTTTGTAGTCATAAAACGCAATAATCTTATCAGAATTTCTTAGATAAAGAATTTTCAAGTATTATTGATTTTTGACTCCTATTTCTTTCATCTTATTTCTCTTGCTTGTTTGCACCTTGTAGTCATAAAACTCAATACTCTTATCAGAATTTCTTAGATGAAGCATTTTCAAGTGTTATTCATTTTTGACCCGTCTTTCTTTCATCTTACTTCTCCTGCATATTTACACTTTGTAGTCATAAAACGCAATAATCTTATCAGAATTTCTTAGATAAAGCATTTTCAAGTATTATTGATTTTTGACTCCTATTTCTTTCATCTTATTTCTCTTGCTTGTTTGCACCTTTGTAGTCATAAAACTCAATACTCTTATCAGAATTTCTTAGATGAAGCATTTTCAAGTGTTATTCATTTTTGACCCGTCTTTCTTTCATCTTACTTCTCCTGCGTATTTACACCTTGTAGTCATAAAACGCAATAATCTTATCAGAATTTCTTAGATAAAGCATTTTCAAGTATTATTGATTTTTGACTCCTATTTCTTTCATCTTATTTCTCTTGCTTGTTTGCACCTTGTAGTCATAAAACTCAATACTCTTATCAGAATTTCTTAGATGAAGCATTTTCAAGTGTTATTCATTTTGACCCGTCTTTTCTTTCATCTTACTTCTCCTGCGTATTTACACTTTGTAGTCATAAAACGCAATAATCTTATCAGAATTTCTTAGATAAAGAATTTTCAAGTATTATTGATTTTTGACTCCTATTTCTTTTCATCTTATTTCTCTTGTTTGTTTGCACCTTGTAGTCATAAAACTCAATACTCTTATCAGAATTTCTTAGATGAAGCATTTTCAAGTGTTATTTTTTTTGACCCGTCTTTCTTTCATCTTACTTCTCCTGCATATTTACACTTTGTAGTCATAAAACGCAATAATCTTATCAGAATTTCTTAGATAAAGCATTTTCAAGTATTATTGATTTTTGACTCCTATTTCTTTCATCTTATTTCTCTTGCTTGTTTGCACCTTGTAGTCATAAAACTCAATACTCTTATCAGAATTTCTTAGATGAAGCATTTTCAGGTGTTATTCATTTTTGACCCGTCTTTCTTTCATCTTACTTCTCCTGCGTATTTACACCTTGTAGTCATAAAACGCAATAATCTTATCAGAATTTCTTAGATAAAGCATTTTCAAGTATTATTGATTTTTGACTCCTATTTCTTTCATCTTATTTCTCTTGCTTGTTTGCACCTTGTAGTCATAAAACTCAATACTCTTATCAGAATTTCTTAGATGAAGCATTTTCAAGTGTTATTCATTTTTGACCCGTCTTTCTTTCATCTTACTTCTCCTGCGTATTTACACTTTGTAGTCATAAAACGCAATAATCTTATCAGAATTTCTTAGATAAAGAATTTTCAAGTATTATTGATTTTTGACTCCTATTTCTTTCATCTTATTTCTCTTGCTTGTTTGCACCTTGTAGTCATAAAACTCAATACTCTTATCAGAATTTCTTAGATGAAGCATTTTCAAGTGTTATTCATTTTTGACCCGTCTTTCTTTCATCTTACTTCTCCTGCATATTTACACTTTGTAGTCATAAAAACGCAATAATCTTATCAGAATTTCTTAGATAAAGCATTTTCAAGTAATATTGATTTTTGACTCCTATTTCTTTCATCTTATTTCTCTTGCTTGTTTGCACCTTGTAGTCATAAAACTCAATACTCTTATCAGAATTTCTTAGATGAAGCATTTTCAAGTGTTATTCATTTTTTGACCCGTCTTTCTTTCATCTTACTTCTCCTGCGTATTTACACCTTGTAGTCATAAAACGCAATAATCTTATCAGAATTTCTTAGATAAAGCATTTTCAAGTATTATTGATTTTTGACTCCTATTTCTTTCATCTTATTTCTCTTGCTTGTTTGCACCTTGTAGTCATAAAACGCAATACTCTTATCAGAATTTCTTAGATGAAGCATTTTCAAGTGTTATTCATTTTTGACACGTCTTTCTATCATCTTACTTCTGCATATTTGCACCTTGTAGTCATAAAACGTAATAGACTTATCAGAATATATTGATGAAGCATTTTCAAGTATTAAGACTATTACCACACTAGCTTAGAAGCCGCCCTATCGGGCCGCATTTAAGCTAGCTCCTGCGCCGGGCTCATGATTAGACCTTCAGCTTGTTAAGGAGTTTGAGAAACCCTGAGTCTTTGCATAGTCTCAGCATTCTGGAAGTTCTACTGACT